AACATTTAAACGCCCACAACTTCTTTCGGAAACTTATTCCGCAGAAAAGAAAAGCAGATTTGGAATCAGCGTTCGAAGGCGCGTCTACTAGTATATATCTCATCTTCAATCGCCTACTAATGTTGGTATCCTTCCCTTGTTAGCTTAGGCCATTAGGAACGTAAGACTTGAGAACTACCGGAATTGAAAAATGTGATTATTCAAAAAAGAAATCCAAAAAAGTCACCTGTCCTTATCAAGAAATTTCCTTTATAACAAGCATAACGGCTCATCAAATGTTGCATATGCTGAAAGTTATAATCATTTGACAAATATCCGAGCAAGTGTTGCAGTAGAACCTTGATGTGTGCTTGAGGCAACAACTGAACTATCTAGGTCATAGCTGTCGTCAGTATTGTGTACTAACATCCCACTAAATCGTTGGAATTTTGAATTTTCTAGCTTTTCATCGTTACTCCAATTCGATTTTACTTTTGCTCCGCAAAAGTTCTGTGCAGTTGTTCAGATTTCATTCTGTGTCGACTTTGTCAATTCTTTATTGATTTTCTTATCTATGCATTTCCGTTTCGGTCTTGCAATTTTGTCTTGCAAATTGCAAATTCAATTTCCTCCCCTTCCCGGTTCTCTAAACCACCGTAAAATTTACACATGTAATGTAGAACCTATGTAAGCCACCCACGTGTGACTTTTTGACTTTCATATGAAACTACTAAACTTCCTCGACTCTTCTTTCTGGGAGAGTGCTTTCGCGCAACCATTTCAGAGCGGCTGCGTCTCCAACGAGCTCTTTCGCGTAGCATTGACCATTCAGAGGCGCCCACTAGTTAGGCTGCTAAGGCCAGCGGTTCAGAAGGGCCATCTCCCCGAATCTGGAGAAGTTAGGCGGCGGTCGCCTAACTTTGTGCCGCAACTTCGGCGCTCGCCGCCTAACTTCAGTGCTCGCCGCCAATTTTTTCAAAGATTACGAGCTGTATTTTATGAGGAAAGTGATATGTACAGATACGTCATTTACAAGACATTGACTGCGATTCCACACTTTCTACCAGTAAATTTGAGACTGGAAAAACACAAAGAATTTCTGGAAAAACAAAAGTTGTTGGAACAGGTTTTTGATACTTTAAAAGAATAATTGGTAGTAGTGGGAAGGCTGTGAGCGGATGCGTCGTTTAGAAGTATTTGACCGCAGCTGCCCAACTCTTCTTCGTTGAGAATAACATCAAGAACTTTGTGAATTTCGCCACATTTTCAATTCTGAAAATGGCTTTGTAAGAGGGTTTTCAAGGATTTTCTGAACTATGTTGCGAACCTTAACTGTAATTCGTAGGAAGTTTGGTTGCGGGTTCGTCACCTACTTAACCGCAGGTGCACAATTTTTTATCACAAAAGTTCATACCTATTCTTGTAGACTTCACAGGTTTTTCCATGAAGCGCGGAGCCTTTCAGGAGACTTTTTGGGTCAATTGGCGTATTTCCATTGTATTGCGTACTCTAGAAAAACGGTGCGCGCAGATGCGTCGTTACAGGTCTTTGGCTGCAATTGCACAATTTTCGATCCTGAAGACCGAATTTGGGCTAATTTATCGTAGACTTCACCACTTTTTTCATTAACTATGTAAAAAATGGTCATTGATCTATTCTTCCAACTATACGATTACTTGTGTGGGGGGCCTGGGTAATCACTTGCAAAGCACTCTGTGCGGGTCAACGTGAACACTTCCGGTCTCTCGGCCGCAAATGGAAAGCGCCCGCGGAGAAAAACGACCGGAAACACTAGGAAATCGTAGCGCTATGTCGCGTTTAGAGCCGTCGAATGTACAAGTGTATGTTCGCGCATAGTTCCGAAAGGTACTCGGATTATGCGCCGCATGGATGGAGATGCAGTTTGGCAAACACTTTTTGTGTTTCTGCGTTTGTGTCTCGCGCTCTCGCCTTGCTCAGCGACTGAAGCTCTGACATTCAGGGGGATCACCCATGAGCTTTGCACAAGTTCGTAAGAGCTTGGTGTTTACTTCCTGAAAAAACTGTTTAGTGTTCATTAAACGATGAAACAGCGGAGCAGCCGAACTTCGTGAGAACGAGCTAGATAAACAAGGAAGAGAGAGGGTGAAAGGGAAGATCGGGAACTATTGCCTTTGCTTTATGTGTTTTGTACATAGAAAATTATGTTGTCCCAAAGAGTAATTTTTTTTACAAACGAAACAAATTGTTTTTGTTTTCGTGACAGCCTTAGGGTACCAATCAACAGAGTAAGGCAAGCTCTACATAATGGCCACCAAAGATTCGCTTAAGTCGATCCATATGGAATTTGGAGCCGTAAAAAATCGTACCTCCTTCCAGAAAATTCCTAGAGACCTCCAACTTGGTCAACATGCAAAATACATGCAAATTTGAAAACGAAAATAATTTCAATGCGCCAAAATGCCACTTTTGTCGGGTTTTTATGCTAACTTTGGTCATAAATAAGAACACATACAGAGATATAGTTTCAAGATTATATTTATTGAGGCTTGAGGCGACACCACATATGTGGGAGGGCTGTGGGCGAATCTGCCGTTCTCAGACATTCTTTTTTCTCAATTTCTTTGGGCGAAAAAAATTTCGAAAGTACAATAGATTCATTACTATGTATTTTCTGTGTGATGACCAATTTGGAGCTTCCTATGATTCTTTTTCACAGAATTCCAATTTTGAGGGGACGAAATTTTTTTCAATTTTGGCTTCAAACTCCACCTAGATAACGACTAAGGTATTTCTCTAGTGATCACTGTAGAGTTTGATTTACTTTATCGAATGGTATCCGAGGTCTGTTAGGGAAAAACGGTTTATTTTCGAGACATCCTAATAAATAGTAGCCTTAAAAAAAGCAGTTACGTACAACCGGAAATTAAGCTGTGACTTAAGGTTACACTATATTCCTACGCGATAAGTCGTACAATTAACATTTGCAATCGGCTCCAAGGATCATTCGATTGAGCAAAGCAAGCTCTAAAAGATGGTGTGCAAAAGTTCGCACCACCTTCGACCCTCGTAAGTTTGCATCCAGAATCTAAAGGTACTGAAAGCTCAAAAAATTAGGAAAAATTCATGTCTTTGTTGGAATAACTACGGAACTCCAACTGGCTCACACAAATTGCAATTACGTCAGACACTCATATATATCGTTGCTATAGTTTATTTTCATCTAGCATACAAAAACGGAGCTATGCTGTCACCCAATTTTATTTTTAATTATGGTTTTACGACCTTTTGGATTAAGAAATCCATGGTGATTAAAATATTGCTACTTGTTTCCTTCGATTTTTTTGATTTTGATAATGTTTCTATCAAAGTTTCTATTAAGCATAGTATATGTTATAAATATATGATACTAGTGGGCCTACCCGGCTTCACTCGGCCCTATCAAAACACTACGATAAAGGCCCCATCCCTATTCATGTTTTCTGTTCGGAGAACAGAATGTTAGACATTTGTAAGGTTAACCACTGTAACTTTTTTCAACCTTATTGTTTCGGAATTCTCCTCGGTCTTCTCTCTACCTTTCCTATTTTGCACCTCCACTTATAAAAATGAGAAAACCTGTAAAGAAGAGCCTTCATTTGGTATAACTATCTGTTAAGAGTTTTTTGAGCTTAAGTGCGTTTTGCGTTCGCAAAACGTTGCGCCAGAGTGGGCTCGAACCACCAATCTTTTGGTTAACAGCTCAATGCGCTGCCGATTGCGCCACGGAAGCAAAAATACCCCTAAAAAACCCTTCAACCTGAGACAAGGTAAACTACAGCAGAAATCTCTTGTGTGACGCTAATGAATGTCAGATAATTGAATGAAATTCCGGTTATATACTCATACAATTGAGAGTAAAAACTATTTCTACGAATTTTACTTATTTTGCAGAATTCTATTGGGTCGGTCCGAAAGTTTTGTCGGTTTTCTAAAATGACTCGCAATCCAGTACACTAAAGATAAACGAACACTTCAAGCTGTATCCAATGCAGAATTTCTTCTACTTTTAACGCTGCCAAATTCCCACTGTGATTTATTGAGAGGATGCTAAAATAATCGCTGGAGATTACATCCCTTCGTTTTCACCATTCTGACTTTCGCTAATTTTCAGAATTTTGAAAGACTTACAAGGATTTGATAGCCAGCGGATAGGGCAAACCTTTTGCCAGCTAAAGCGATTCTTTGTGGCTCTGTGGCTCGTCATTCAGAATTTATAAAATTTATTTTTTAAAGTAGAGATTTCATATTCCGCTCTTTCTAACCTCCTAGAACATAAAACGGTAAACACTCAGTTGTATTCGATGCAACTTTTTCTTCCTTTTCTAACACGTCTTTTCCTAGCGAGATAGGCGAATTTTGCGGAGGACATTGTATATTTCCCAATTGTAGGGGTGCGCACTGAGTACCCCAAATTTTAATATCTATATATTTTAAAGCGAAAATCGCTCATTTATTTTATAAGGATGTCGCTAGTAATGAATCGAGTGTTGAAACGTCAGTATTCTGAAGTTTTTGTAGTGTTTCGTGCAGTAACAGGTTATGTGGTCTTACCAAAACTCGAGACTTTTCGAAAATTATTTAGCAAAATTCTTAAAGAATAGCTGGAAAAGGGAAAAAAATTCTTGGTTGGCAAAAGGTTTGCCCTATCTGTTGGTTATTGAAGCTCCCCCAGAAGTCTCATATAGAAATTTTGAATATTAGCGGAAGTTGAACATGGTGAAAATGAAGGGCCGCTAGCGATTATCTCAGCGCTCTTTAGAACTGTCGCATCAAAAACGTAGCCGTTGGAAAGAGGAAGAAACTCTGCGTTTGATACTGCTCAAAGCATTTGTTTACCTTTACTGTGAGGAATTTACTGGTCATTACAAAAAAGCGACAAAACTTCCGGACCGACCTAATAAAATAGGCAATATTTGAGATTGAACAAATAATTTCTTTAGCTCCAAAACGAAAATTCGCACATTTTTCACTGTTCTCAATGTGAACAAGTATTTTTACAGGCCTCAGAGAACATTTACCATGTGGATTCAAGAACGGCTCTGGAAAAACACTATGAAATTGGTGCAATGATTGGTCGAGGAAATTTCTCACGTGTTTATTTCGCTCTACGACGCAAAGATGAGAAGAAGTGTGCGCTTAAGGTAGTTTCCGCATTTTATACAGTAAAGCTATGGGTTTTAGCTATGGGCTCGGCTGACCGCTGCTTATTCCACATGTACGAACTCAGAGAATGTTTTGCTTTTTCACTGACGCGTTGCTATTGCGGTGTGTTTTTACATGCAAATGGCTCTTTGGGTCCATTGTCGTTGTGAATGGCTGCTAATTAAGGATGTGTGTGTGTTTGGCGGGTTGACCGCTGGTCATAAAGAAAAAGACTAATAAAAGATTAGAATACACTTAAGTGACGGGAGAGGGGGGGGGGAGAGGGGGGGCCATTCAATTTTAGGGGCGACTTCAGTATCTAAAAAGGAAAACCTGAGGAGTAGGTTATTTTACTCTAAAATAATCTCCAACAACCCAAAGATCTTTACCATAAATCTATTTTACTATATTACCCGCATAAGAAAATAACTATAGTATCAACACTGAACAAATTTTATCTTTAGGAGGTTCTAAAACAGCAATTACGCGGAAAATGGTTCTTCATAGAGAATGAAGTCGAAATTCTACAAATGTGCTCACATCCGAATATCTGCAAAATTGTAGATGCATATAAAACAAATTCTAAGTATCTGTTAGTATTTGAATACGCCCAGGTAAGGAAAAAATCTCTAGAAATATGGATTGGCTAGTAAAAAGATATATTGTAGAATGGCGATCTCTTCGAGTTAATTCGACGAGATGGTAAACTGGAAGAGAGCGATGCGGCTACATTTACTTCGCAGGCGAGTAAAAAAATAATGACCTTTTTGCATAGTCGCAATACTCAAAAAGTGAAGGAGAGAGACCAATGCGATCTTAACTTCCAAAGCAATTCAAAAGTTCTTCACGAAGTGAAATAAAAAGGCTCGTCCCCTGTTTTTGACCCCTTTAAAGTTGTTTAGTTGAATTTCTTTCATGCATAATTCACCACTCCTTTTTGTCTTTTTCTAAAATATAGAATTGTTGAACTGCCAAAAATGACGATCAAATTTTCGATAACAAATTGCTTTAGTCTAAAGAACGACTTTGAAAGGGTCTCAGAAGTCAATAAGATTTTGAAAAATTTCAACTTGCGAGAAAACAAATTCGAAGAATCTTTACTCAGAAAAGTTCTGTTCCAGACAGCCTCTGCACTTGCTTACTTGCACAATCGTAAAATTGTTCATAGAGATATAAAAGCTGAAAATTTACTGTTGTACAGCAAGAAACAGGTCAGTAATCATTTACATAGCATCATAAATTAATAACAATTAACAACAACTACACTTCAGATCCAGTTGTGTGATTTTGGATTAGCATGTACGGTTCTTGGGCCTTTGTATAGGGTATGCGGGACACCGAGCTATTGTGCACCGGAGGTTATTCGGGAGACGGGTAACTTCTTTATTTATTTTTTCTCCAGAGAGATTCCTGCAGTCGTGAGTGATTTGCAAAGTGTAAAGAGATGCAGCTTTTGTTTTCAGGTCTTTGAAAATCTCATAAAGAATTACGCACCTACGGACTTTTTTCTTACCTCTACCCCTCAAGGATGAGAATCTTTTTGCTTGAACAGACGGGATACCTTTTGCTCTTACAGTAAAGTCTCAAAAGATACCAACATATTAATGTTTAGGTAGGCGCCAGACGCAAACGATTAGCTGCTTCAGCAGGACGCGGCGCAGCTAATAATGTCATTTGGCGTCACGTTGGACAGAAATCAAAAGCTTTCTGAGAAAAAGTTAAACACTCAAAATAACATACCGTGATGTTGCGCTTTTAATAAGCTGAGGCGCGCTTTTATGTACGGACTTGCGATATGTATAGAATGAACGGATGGGTTCACTGACTGCTAATTGTTAACTAACAACTAACTGTTACTTAACATTGCTAGTAAGATGTAAATACAATTCGCTAAAATGCTGTAACCTACCTAGTTTCCTATCACAATCTTCTTTTCTATTTCGTCTAACACTGGTGAATTATTGGCGATAAAGTGATGTTTCTCTAATTAGTAAGTTTCCTTTCCAAATAAGTGGGGAATGTGATGTTGCGATACCTCCACTTACAACGCCTGTCCGCATCGAGAGCAGGGCTCGGCACGAGGTGGCTTACAAGCAAGCTGGGTATCGTTTTTGGGACGAAAAGCAAAGGGGGTTTCGTTTTTGTGACGGAAGAGACACGGAAAATTGGAGACGGCGACCTTTTTTTTAGTCGACGTTTCGTTTTTTGGGGGATTTTGGGGAATTTTTCAGGTTTTTAGAGGAAATTTGGTGAGGGTCAAAGGGGACTTCGTAAAAATTCCCAAAAGTCAAGGGGGACTTCGTTTTTTCCATTTTCATCTAGCCACCTCGTGCCGAGCCCTGATCGAGAGTCAAAATGTGCAAGAGAGGAATGGAGGGAGTCTAAGATGATCGGGCGTGATCGTCGCAGTGCTCTGATAACGTTTCGGTAATTCTATGCATCTCTGATTACGGTTCGATAATTCTATGGATATCTTGCAAGAGAAAAGCGTATATATGCTCAGGTGCAACAAGTTTTGAAACATACTATGTGGTAGCTTTTTTTGCCAGAGTGCGTTTCTAAAGAAAAGAGATGTTGCTATCACTTGTGAAGCGAAAATAATTACTTTGCTAAAAAGATTGCTCCAGACTTGCAAAAGAGATCGATTTAGTTGTCACCGCTATTCCAAAAACTGCATTTGCAAAACTTGCTGGATCCTTAGTTAAATGTAGAGTAAAGCTCTCGAAGCAAGCTCTTGAAGCAGTTAATAAATATATTTCGCAACCCCCAAGTGGTGTAATTATCTGCATTCCATCCCAATCTCCAATTTTTAGACCACTGCCACACAGCTGTTGACTGTTGCTTGCCTAGGTGAATATTCTAACTAACACAGTCGCTATGAGTATAGGATACGTAGGAATATGTAGGAACGCTCCAAACAAAGCAAAGCCATGTAAACATCACAAGATCACAGAAATAGGCATGGATCTCACATCCCCTACGGGCATTCCTTTGTCTGCGCAGATCTTGAAGAGGGGATGAAAGGGAAGTTCTATCTTGCGTGCAAAATGATTAACGATGTGCAGCGAAGCTGATCACCAGGGTCAATCAAGAGGTGTGGACAATCGCTGGTTATGACCCCCCCCCCTCTTATTGCTGTCTCAATAAGACCCCCTAAACTATATACCTAAAACTAGTTGGCAAACCCGGCTCCGCCCGGGTCAATAATACACTTGCAATCAGCATGCTCGATTACCCCGTGTGCCAACTTCCAGCCCTGTAGCTCAAATTTTGCAAAAATCGATAAAATCGATGTCGATCGATAACGAAAAGTAGCCTACGGGTGGGGGAACGAAAGCCGCCAGGTCCAGCCGCCTCCGCGGACTGCTGGTCCTGGAACGACATGCAACAACGCTGCGAAAGGACCAGCTGGCCGCGAAGGGCGGCTGGACCTGGCGGCTTTCGTTCCCCCACCCGTAGCCTACGATACCCGCCCTGCTCCGAAGTGTACGTGTGCCAAGTTTGGTCCCGATCGGTTCAGAAATGGAATTTTCTATTCGGAACATACGTACACAGAGACAGACATACAGACAGACATACAAACAGACATTCAGCTTTATATATAAGATAGCAAGTACATAACGGGCAACATATCCATAATGTGTCATAATGCATGTCAATTAGCCCCTGTAGACAATGTTTGAATTCTGAAGTTTCAAAATACTGGGTCACCTAAGTGAAATCGCCGTTTTCCAGCATGTTTAACTTTGTTTAAAGGTGAAGTAGCTAGCGTTTTTGCACGCAAGACAAAGCACTACTCCTTCTTTGGCCAGATCAGAAATCTCGCTTCAAAAGACCTCCTAACTTTGGAATTAGCCAATTAATATCTTGTTTTTGCTACTTTCGCTTTTAATGGCTGTGCTTTCACCAAATATTACTCAGAGCCTATGAAGACGAATCAGGCTTAAATCACTCCTATGAAATCTACTAGGTCTAGCTATCGATTCATATAAATAACGTTCGCTAAAAATGTTTTTTTTGACATAATTAAAGGCAGTTCCGGGCAAAAACTCGATTTCTAGAAATCCACATACCTGGGCTTATCGGCAACGCTGAATCCGAAAATCCACATAAGAAGGCGCGAAAACGGCGAAAACAAACGTTTTGCAAAGCCGCCACTGTGAAATTTGGCGGTCATCAAGGCAGAGACGCAGAGTCGCTGCGGGACCCTACGTTTTAACTGTGGCGGCATGCGTACCCTGCCGCATTGCAGGAATTCGGACAGCTCGGAGGACCCCGCAAGCGTGAGTATCCCCACTTTCCGGTCGTTTTTCTTGCTCTAGGCGCCGAGAGTTGTGACGTCGCACTTGGGCTATGTTGTGTCTGAGGGGGGCCACTTTCGCATGGCACTGAAATCCCAAAACCCCCTTCTTGCCCGGAGACTGCCTTTAATGGGTGTGGCACCGCCCTAAAAAGCTGTGGCTGCCACAGCTTTATAGGGGTGGTGCCACACCCCATTAACTTATATCAAACAAATTTAATAGCTGCGATTTTGATATCTTGTTACTGCTTAACCTTCTTCTTTACATAGCAGAAAATTCATGTGGAAACGTTTATTCAAGATATAATCGTTTTTCGTTACCCATGCAAATGTGAAATACTGGTAAAATACTGCGAAAATATTGGGATACGGTAGCATGCTAAGTCTGCGCTACCACGTGAATCGCAAGGGAAGGCGACAAGAATGTATATAGTCGATAGCCTAAGCAATCTACATTAGAGTGATTTGAGCCTGATTGGTCTTCTCTAGCCTGAGATATTGAAAACGAAAAATGTAACAAACGAGATCTTGACTTGCTCTTAATTTTTTGATTTGGAGGTCATTTAAAGTAGGATTGCTGATGTGAGCAAAGAAACAGTAATTCTTTGTACTAAGCGCAAAAAGTGGTTCTGTATTTGGAAACCTCAGAATTCGCTGAAACTCGGACCACAGGGGTTATTTTACTTGCTAATTGAAAACGATGCTCTTACGCTTTATAGATTTTTAATTAAGTTTACTGTACGTATACGATAATGGGGCAAACATCAACGTGCTAGTATTTTGCATGACGGGCCTATTCGATATTGTTAACGAATATCATGTTATTGAACAGCAGACGCCTTGATAACAACCCCCACCCCCTCCCTGATTGCTCGGTAAGACCCCAGGTGTGGCATGGCACACCCCACGCTTGACCTTGCTGACCACGTTCAAGAAGGCGTGAGTCCTGGGATGAAAACCTGCGTGAAGAGCGCGGATTACGGCATTTTATTTTGAGTGTTCAACTTTTTCTATCAGACGCTATATGCGGTGTTCGCAACAACAGTAGTTTTGAAGAGATGATAAAAAGGGCTCCAGATTGAGAGAAATGATAAGGAAATCTTACCAATAAAAAAACTTTGATGCAGCGAAATCGCGGACCCCGGGTCTTCCTCCAGCATGACACCAAACGACAATAATTGCACCACATCCTGCTAAAGCAGCTAATCGGCTAACAATAAGTCTGGCGCTTATCTTATCCCTCTCCCCTCCTTCCCTTCAAAAAAGTGGTTTTTCACTCACATGAAGGCACTGCTACTATGCATACAATGAATTAATTCCAACCCTAGGCTATGGGCTACCAGTAGACATTTGGTCGTTGGGTGTATTGCTTCATGTGATGCTTGTTGGATTCGCTCCATTCCGAGCTAGCGAACGTGACCGTTTATTTCGATTGATTACTCAGGGCAGGTTGTATTTTGGTATGCCTGAATGGAGAGAAATCTCGGAAAGTGAGCTAGTCCCATTTAGATTGATCAAATTTTTCTGTTATTCAATAAATTCTTTTTGCAGAAGCACGTGAACTTGTGTCTGGGATGATGTGTACTAATGTTGAAAAACGTTATACGGCTGGAGAAGTGCTTTTACATCCATGGATCCGGCAATTCGATTCGATCATATAAATCAGTTTTTTAATGTTCATTACTACTCTTAACCCATGGGTGGCGGACTTTATGAACGATAGCGCGCGCTTAGGCAGGCGTATGCCAATAAGGTGCGCACCGAGCCCCGCCTACCGCAAGGTGGATGAGTTCTCTGTAGTACAGCTCTGGCACTAGTTCACGGCCATGTTCCCTAGTTAAATGAAAGCAACTTCCGATAGTGAGCTATAAGCTTGTTGCAAGCTGGGATGAAGCTTGACTTTACAGAATTATTCTTGTTTCTTCGCCAGTCATGAATAGCTAATGGGTTTGATCGTGAAATTCAAGAGATTTGCTATTTACCTATGACTGACCGAGTGACTCCTGGATATCCAACTAGTCAGATAATCGCGGGAGGGGGGGGGGGCAGGCGGTCCGCAAACTCGCGTTTTCTTGCAGGCGGTCAGCAGAATTTTGGGGCGTGGCCAAACCTTCAACGGGCGGTGGTACCTCCTTTACTGTTTAATGTCCTGCTAGCGGGGCAGAATGCACCTTTTCTGCCAACGCTCGTCAAATAGTCTCTTTCAGCGAGCGCTGGCCAAACTTTCAGCAGGCGCTCGGACTCTTTTTAAGCAGTTTCGGGCGTACGTCGAGCAAATGTGAAACTTAGTTACTCAAGTTTGAGGTACTTTCTCTTAGCGGAAAGTATCTGAGGGCTGTGCGGTTCTCCACAAAGGACCGCGCGGCCCTCAATAACTTTGCATATTTTCGCGGAAAGTCCGCGAGAATGCGGCCAATGCGCCGCAACTAATCTATAGGAAAACCGCGATAGTTGTTCCGATTCGTTTGAAAATTGGCCAACATTCCCCCAAATTCCTGCAAGCGGGCCGCAAGAAATATCGTTATCGTTATATATCGTTCATAAAGTCATACATCCATAACCCATGACATTCGTAGATAACGGGATTCACTAGAAAACCGGTGCGGAACCCTAGCATATTATTAACCCTGACTGAGATTATACAAAAGTGGACTTTTGCTTATGTGATGTTATAAGCAATTTTCTTTTTCCGTTATACACTGGTTCCTACCATGACATGATTGAGCTGATTATATGTAACAATCAGGGCCCGACATGAGCCCGATTCTATGCTTTCTAAAAAAGAAGTCCCTTTTGACTTTCGCAAAATGTTACGAAGTGTCCTTTAACCCTTTTCAGAAACGTCGACTAAAAAAAGCGAATCTAACTTGTGTTCCTTTGCTTTCGTCCAAAAACAAAGTCCAGAATGCTTTGAAATACCGGGTCCTGGTAACGTTGTAAGCAATCTTTTTGACGATGGCAGCAAAATTCTAATAACTCTGTGGCTAACACCGCTCCTTAACACGCCCCTTTTCAAGTTGTCCTATCTGCCCTATCTCGGCAAAGAGTAGTTTGAGGCCCAAACTGTATTAGTAAGTGGCCCAAACTTTGGGCCACTGAATTGATATACATTCTCTCTCTCATTCTATGGCGCTACCCTGTGTAGTCGCCCCCACCCCGCTAGTCGCGTGGTCGAATGCAAATTTGAATCGGAGCAGACGGTCGGCCTCACAGCGTGGCAGACACTGCTCCCACTCAAAGTTCGCGATCAGTTTCTTTTACTTCCTTCGTCTTTTTTCGCTATTTCTCAAATTGCAGCAATTCCTTTTGTGAGTATGTGTCGTTAACGCTGGTCGTTGCTCTGTGCAGTTATGCCCGTTTGCTGTACAATTTATCCAGGTAAACCAACGATGCAGTTGGAGATTTTTTGGATGCAAACTCTCTTTTTCTGATAAGCATAAGTGTGTCTAATAAAATGTCACAAATTTTCAGCAAAATGAATAAACTTTTCCTTTTCAGAACTAAAGCTGTTCAAGAAGTATAGGTAAGTTTTTCGGATAATACATCGGACATAATCGCCCATAGCAATATATGTGCAACATATGCTTCCTTGACTGCGCGTAAGGTTGTGCTCGGTCGTTGTTTGTTGTTTACGAAATTCAGCTGCGTTATTTTTGAAATTACCTGAGTCAGCGTTAACGAAATCGTTGAGACTGAAAAGACATTGCTGTAATACGAAATATAGCAAGGAAATGCGATGAAAACGAAGAAAACTGATTGCGAATTCTGAATGAAGGCCGTTCTGTGTTCTGACGCCGCCGTCTGCTCCGATTCAAATTCGACAACCACCGAGCGGCTAATAGGGTGAGGACGACCATAATACCTGCCATATTTACATACAGGGAATTCCTTTCATTCATTCCTTTCATGAATATTCACTTACTTTTATGCAATTCGGTGGATTTGCACAATTTGTTGTACTTCAGCTTCATTAAAAAATCTTTACGTGACTTACAGTGTACGAAATATCCTGTTTCTTCAAAGTGTCAATGCAATGAAAATAAAGAAGGTGAATAAACTTGTATTAGTGTTATATATCAGTGCGGATGCAGAGAAGCCTTCATTCGAGAGCACAAGCTACAAGACTGAGAGGTACAACGCTGTCACGACTATATATAGCTAATTTGTTTAGATAAACACGTGGCATATCTTATCGTATCATTTAGCACATCATCCCTCAACACCTCCCTTTTAAGACAGAGATTATTTATACGTCTACTTCTTAAGATTGACTTGAAGTTGATCAGGCTGCTTTCGGTGTCGAACTGAATATTTCTTAAAAGTTAGCGGCTTCTCTTCGGTGTCGATGACAGCGTGGATGATTTGAGATCTTGACTCGGCATATCTGTAGTAAAGTGTTGACTCCTTGCTGTTTTTAGATGGTTCTTTCAGGGTACTTCAGATTTCCATTGCGCATCTGATTGGCATGCCTTCTCCAAAGAAGTTTGCTTCCGTTTCCACATTGTAAAGAACTTTTCCTGTGCGATCCTTCACGACGGCTGGAGTCCCATGGCTGATGCCCAAGCCGATACTTTGCTTCATAATGTCGATTGAATTGTTCTTCCATCTGCGCATTACGTTCTCCTTCTCCCCTTGGTGTTTTAAGAACTAGTAAAAGTGTTGTTCTGATTGATCTTCCAAGTAACAGTTCGACTGGTGAGAGGTTTCTAGGTGATGCGGCGCTCGGTGTTCTTCAATTTTGTATAGAAAGTTAGCAACTTCTTTGATATTTTCTCCCCTTCTCATCTTTTGAAGAGTTCTTTTGAAGATGTCAAAAAACATTCTGCATGCCGTTTGATTGTGGATGAAATGGTGGCGAACGAATGTGATTAATCTTGAAATTCTTGCAGAGATCTTGAAATTCTCTTGCCGTAAATTGTGTTCCATTGTATGAGACAATACCGGTGGAGAACTGTGTGAGTAGCAGTTCTAACCTTCTTAGGGTAGCCTTGACTGATAAAGACAACATTTCGTATACTTCGGCCATTTCGGATATGCACCGACCAATGTAAGTTATGTTCTTTCTTGAGTGGTTTTGCAAAGTCAATATGTACTCCTTCCCACAATTTGTTCTTCTTACAAGGAAAGGATACCAACATTAGTCGGCGATTGAAGATGAGGTGTATATCAATAGACGCGCCTTTGAACGCTGATTCTAGATCTGCTTTCCTTTTCTGCGGAACAACTCTCCGAAAGAAGTTATACGCGCTTGAATGTCCAAATTTGCCAAGCATTGAATGGCATAAAATTAGCGAAAAGCTCTAAGACAATACTTAAGCAATTTCCATCGGCTTTGTTCCTTCATTGCAAGCAATATGCTCGATACAAAACTGATTTCCCGCTTTCCGATGTTTTTGTGCATCGTTTCGTCAACTTTAGGCCACCTAAACCTTGACAAATTTGGACATTCAAACGCTCACAACTTCTTTCGGAAACTAATTCCGCAAAAAAAGAAAGCAGATTTGGAATCAGCGTTCAAAGATGCATCTAGTGGTATACATCTTATTTTCAATTGCCAACTAATGTTGGTATCCTTCCCTTGTTAGTCGAAAAGTTCAGTTGTGTTTTCGACGACATATTTTTGCTGCTTCTTGACAACTGCGGCATTGTCGTACAGTTTTTATAATAGTTTGTCCAGAACACGTATCCGCTGGCAAGCATCTCCATTCTGTTCATTTCAGGGCGCCCTTCATAGAGTTGTTTGAGAACCTGAGTGAAACTGGAATAACAATTCGATGACCAAAATAAGGCATCCATTTGCTGTCGATAGTTCTTTATTCAATGCTTTCCAGTTCCCGAGCTGGTCGTCTGGTTTTAAGGCTATTTCCATTCTTCTGTATTTGCATAAAATACGATATGATGTTGTCTTTTTCAAATTCTTTTTAACTATCTCTCTAGTCGCAGATAGGGATACGCTAGCAGCAGTTCGTTTGGCAAGTATATCCCGTTCTATTTTAGCTATGAAGATGTCTTCAGTTCGATTTGGCCTTGCAAATTGGAATGTGTCAAAAGCAAGTCCGAGGCTCGTACTTCTTTAGCGCTATTCAACGCGTCTTCAACGTTTTAGCCTATATATCAAAAGAGTACTGTATTTCAGCAGTGCATCCAAGGGTGCTCGTAGTCTGCGCTTCGGCTACAAATGATTCATAGTAGCTGATCATTCCCAAAAACGAGCGGACTTCTGCAACGTTCTTCGGCGTAGGCATTTGAGGATGATCTCAATCTTTTGCATGACATCCATCTTCGTCGATAACATATCCAGTGTATGGACGTATCGCATAAGAAATTTGCAATTTTCGAGACAGATGCGGAATCCAATCGCTTAATTCTTCAAAAGACTGCTTCCAAGTTACAGCAGTGTTCGTCTGTGTGCGTAACGACTATGTCATGCAAATAAGCTGCCACTCCTTCTAAGCCGCAGATCATTGCGTCCATGATCTGTTGAAATAATCCGAGCTGACTTCACTTTAAAGGATGGACAATTATATCGGTCCTTTGTGTGTGTTAATTTTCGAGATTTCTCTTGACCGATCTTTGACTTCATTCTGTATGTAAGCCAGCTACAGGGGCCTGCATGATAGCGAGAGTTGGACGTGCGTACGGCCAATGCGCCGCACACATCCGATTCCTTCCCACGGCTCAAGTAGGTGCCGACGTAACCTGTTCAACTGGCCCATTCGTTCCACTCCTTCTGCTACTG